CCAATATTGTTGGATGCAAGGTGGCCAACGGCACGGCTGTTAAAAATACACATGAATATAGCTATTTATGGCACATATTTACACACGAGACTTCAAAATATTGACATAGTTGAACACTTACATATAAAATTATGGTCTGAATCTTCAATAAGTGGAGTATTTCTTCTTATTTTCTTGAATATTTTAAGAAAACTTGGCCATACAACCAGCGTTAAAAAATTTCCAAAGGATGCGCTCGAAATGTGCCCGCTAAGCCTTCTGGGAGTCCATATATCGCAACGCGATTGACTGAAGACACTGATCTCAATCATGTGAACAATCCAGTGCAAATTAAACTGTGTTTCTGATTTTAATAGACACTTCCCGAATTTGCTTGAGTGCACACGAAACAATAGCTTGGAATCGAGGCGGACAATGTAATCCATTGGAAAACTATACTTATTTCCAATGGATTACATTGTCCGCCTCGATTCCAAGCTATTGTTTCGTGTGCACTCAAGCAAATTCGGGAAGTGTCTATTCATCTTCAAAATTCTAGCTGTTTTATTGTATCTTCATTACATGGCAATAATTAAAGCATTTACGACGCAATATAAGAATATAAGCAAGAACTTTTGCTTGCTTTAAAGAAAACAATTATTCTTGATTAGAAAAATTTTGCTTATTTTACTGTAAGTAAAATTAATTCTTGATAAGAATATTTTCTCTCGTTTTTCTTATTTTAAGCAAAATATTGCTTAAAATAAGAATTTTGCAAGAATTTTTTTCTAGGTAAGAATTCTCAATTTTGTTGTGTATGCTTTTGAAAATTGAAATCTTGTTTATCCCACTCCTGGCAAACAGCCATATGCACGCTGCATTCCTTCACGGCGACGTAACGGCATAACACAAACGTTTCTAAGCTGTAAACTATGACGATGACTGAAATATAGTCGAAACGTAGATTTCTAAGCTGTCTCTACTGGCTTCTGACTGTCTTTTCAACTTCCGGATATACTGAATTTAACAATTAACCCTATTTGTACCGGGGGTGCGCACAATGAGCGCACCCCTATAAATATTTATCCGTCATTCCTGAACAAATGATCCGATTTGCCTGTACTCTCATGACTTTTAATATTTTTCATCTGCCGTCATGAGTGTGAAAAAATTTTCTGAAAATTCAAAGTTATCCGGACGTTTGGCGACATTTCTCAAAGAAAGTGTCGGGGCCAAAAATGGGTAAATGGGGGTTGGACAGTATTTTTTTGCTTCAATCACTTCCCAGGTCATAAATAACATAATATAATTAGAGAACATATAAATATGGATTATTACACATGATTTGCAAAGTAAAATATCCATAATATATTATATAAAATAGTAAAATATAGTATAACATATAATATAGCATACTATACAGTATACAATACTTATAATTATATAATATAAAATACTTATTTATAATATTTTTATATATTCAATTACACATACATATTTCTTTGTACCTTCAAGGCATAACATCTCCCTGCCTTTCAGCAAGAATCAAACTTGTAGGATGCATTATATATTGAACACTTTCGTACCAGAAATTCAGTTCCAAATGAGAGTAAAACATTTGCATACAATCCATATAAATGATTGCCATGATTTTCAAAGTAAATATTGTGTTTTCAAAACTATACTGCAGGCTCGTATCTCGTAGCTCACCTGCCTTACACTTCATGTAACACATAGTATATTGGTATAAAACATGGCTGCCATTTCGTATTTTTTCTACAAACATTTATTGGTCGACATTTTATGTTTACACTGCAGAAGTTATGCCAAAAAAGTGCTAGAGTTTCAACAGAATGCACAATTGTGCATACTAGGAGAATAATGGAACATTATTTATACAACAATGACACTGTCACAAAGATATGAAGGTAAAATCAGTGATGTTGAAACTTGAAAATGATTTGGATTGTTTATATGAGAGACTGGTAAGTTTCAGTTGTATGTCTTTTCATATGGCACAGAAATGCCAACTTGGAAAGTAAAATAGTGGTGTTTATGGACAACTGAGATATGCTATAACATAAAAGTATGTCTTTTGAATGTAAAAGACCAAAAAAATATCACATCCAAAATGTTTTGTTATCTCTTTACAAAATATAACCAAAATGGGTAAAATATTAGCTATATTCGCCATTTTCGGATAGGCGGTCATATTCAATGGGGCCAAAAAACAGCATTTTGGATGTGAATTTAACTTTTTTGTTATTTTTAGGTTAAAGAAACATAAAACTTACTAAAAATAAAACTTATAGGATAATAGCAGTTAATCGACAGAATTTCTGAGGGGTGCGCCCTATCAGCGCACCCCCGGTCATATCAACATGAAAAACCCCCGGTACAAATAGGGTTAAAACCCGATATAAGCTGAATTTAACGTCAAGCCGTATAATGTTTTCCTGATGTCATTAAAAGGCACAGTTGATTGATGGTTTTTAAGATTATGCGTAATTCAAGATCAGTAAACTCACTGTTTTTAACAATAAGAATATTTTAACGTGTTAAAAACATTGAGTCTACTGATCTTGCATTGAATTATGTTTAATTAATACTAATTAAGGCATGAATTTGGAGGTAAAATATACAGCCCGTATTCTGGGAGTATTTCCAGGCGTAAATACCCCAGGAATATCTGCAATATTCATGACCGTATTCAAACCCGGAATATCACCGAATATTGGTGATATTCCTGCCCATAATCCGACTCGCAATACGGGTCGGAATATGTATTTTATTCCGACCCATATAGAGACGGAAATACGTGGGAATACGCACTTTTTCTTCCAGTGCTACCTTATTAGTATTCTTTATATAAAGAATACTAGCTGGGAGTGTTTTATCAGGTTTAAAGCCACCATAGTTAATAGAGGAGATGGTTTGGAAACTTGTTTGCATTACAATAAAATCACAATAAACCTCTTTATCTATGTTGTTCAGGTTTATGCAAAAATGTAGTCTTTCATCGTCACGTGCGTATTGTATTTTTCTCAAGTCAACCAATAGGAATGTTTAAAATGTCCTATTGTTAAAGTCACGGATGGGCAATTGGACAAAACCGTTGCTATTGGCTGGTTGAGCAAAAATACAATACGCACGTGGCGATGAAAGACCACATTTTTGCATAAACCTGAACAAAAACATAGATAGTGAGGTTTATTGTAATGCTAATAAGTTTCCAAACCATCTCCTCTATGAACTATGAAGCCATTGCACGTGACATATTATGGTTGACATGATTTGCCAAAACGCTTATTAAATTTGCCAAAACGCTTATTAAATTATTAAATAATACATCTCGGGATAAACAACTGATAAATGTGAATATACAGATAGTTTAATGTGAAATACTTGTATAATGTAATTGTATAGTTTATATGTGACGTAGTAAGGCAAAATCGCAACAGGACTTGAGACGCCAGAGGCGCCGGAATACCGATAATTGCGGGGGCAGATATTCATATATTCGTGTTCACTGACTGTAAAAACAATCGATTTCAAAAGAAATTAATTGGGCAGAACACGAATATATAAATATCTGCCGCCCCCCCTCCCCCCCATTATCGATATTCCGGCGCCTCTGTGAGACGCCATAGTGCATGTCGCTAGTGAATACTTCACTTTAACACTTTAATACTGTTAATTTTTATAAAGCATTTGCCATTTAAATTTCTCTTATTCAATCGGTGCTTGAGTACGCTGCCCCCGTTTGGGCCAACTTACCGCAGTACCTATCCGATGATATTGAATCCGTTCAACGAAGGGCATTAAAAATAATATTTCCAGACCTCGACTATTTTCAAGCCTTATGCCTGTATTCAAAAAGCTCACTCACACTCACACTTGAGTGTGACTCGAATGAGATGCACTCAAGTAGGGTTGAAGTGTGGGTGCATGAGAGTGGAGTATGAGTGTAAGTGTCCACTCAACGAGGGAGCAGTCACCCTGGAAAATATTAGCTAGATTTGTATTCAAAGAGCTCACTCGAGTGTGACTTGCTCGAGTTTGGGTTTGATGTTGTTGTAGAAGGTATATAAACTACAGTGAGACTGTTGTAGACTTGTCAATGCATTCCTACGGCATTGCTGAACAATATGGCTGAAGCTAGATAATATTTTTCGCAATTGGAAAAGTCACTGTTAACTGAATTAGTGCCAAAGCACAAAGATCTTCTAGAAAATAAAATGAATAATTATAAAACCATACAACATATATTAATTTCATTATCATATTGAATATGTTATTCATAATTTGCGTAAAATGTTGCATTATCAGAATATCAGGGCTTGTCGTACCGAATTGCCCAAACGTCGGTCTCCAGCATGCATGTCATCCACTTCTTCCTCATCGGCCAGAATATGTTCTGGTTCATATCGATATGAAGTTGAACAACACAGCTGTAGCAACAATTATAGTTAGGGACGTTTGCAATTTTGTGCGAAGGGTCGTTGAAAGGCATGGAAATAGCCTTTTCCATACATCACTGGGCGCAAACATCCTTTCCACGGTGTTTCGTGTACGTACGTATTTGTGCAACATTATATCTGCGTTGCGGTCGGGTTTGCGATCAATTACTGGTGTCATTAGATATTGACGGCATGGATAACCGTTATCACCAAGTAGGCCTAATATACCCGGGATATCACCACGTTCAAACTGTGCACATAATTATGCGACTATTGTCGAATATTCTGGCATCATGTACGCTACCTGGCCAACGTGCGACAAGGTTTAAAATGTCTAAATTTGGCCCGCGAAACAGCTTGAATTCGCCAAACATCAAGTTTGAGTTGATCCAAAATATCACCTTCAGGAAATGTTATGTAATTGTTCCTTAAGCGCGGTGCGATTGCTTCGGATACTCGCTTTATAATTCGACTTGCTAATGGCTGCGAAATCTCACACAAATCTCCGCATGCATGCTAGCTGGAATGTACCCGTGACGTAAAACCTTAGAGTCAACAAAAGTTGTATATCTGCGGGAATGGGATTTCCTCGCTCGTTGTGCGCAGATCTTTCTGGCCTAATTATATCCAGTAACTCTCGCAATCTAGCCGTAGTTACCCGGTATCTGCATCGAAACCGCTCCTCGTCATATTTCCCGTAATCAAATATATATGGTCTCCTCCTGCCTCTGTTATCTCTTGCGACATTGTCCAGTAATTCTAGCCTTCTTAACCACCTTTCCGCCATATTTGAATCACCAAGTACAAGGTGAGTCTAACTGCTGAGTGCGGCTCAAGGGACGTCTACCTCTCACTCACACTTTACTCAAAATGGAGCTTCACTTGAGTGTGAGTGGTGTCTTTGAATAGTTCGAGTGTGAGTGTCACTTTATGCTATTTGAGTGTGAGTGGACACTCATTGAGTGGTGAGTTGTACTCATTAAGATTGTGTGTCCACTCATTGAGTGTGAGTGTGAATGAGCTTTTTGAATACAGGTGTTAGAGTCCTCTAACCTGCTACAGTTATCTAATCGCATAGATCGTATTTGTGAATCTTCATGGCTCAACACCGAAAGTCAAGCTCTGCGTTGTCTAAGATCATTAACGCTAATTACGAACCTACCATCACCCATTCGTATTCATAACGATCGCTGTCAAGCAGATTAAAAAATGTCCATACAATCGATAAGAACTAACCGTTTAAGCCAATTTGTAACAAATTAATTCTGAATAATACATATATATCATAGATATCTTATCTTATATACACTAGATAGCGCATCTCATTTAGTAAAATTGAAGCCAAGAATATTCCAGCGGTTACCCCCATTTGAATAGGTGGCGGCCATGTTGGTCATTCCCACTTGCTAATAAACGCTCAAAAACAAAAAATAACTTTCATTATTTGGATAGTTTAAAAACGTATTTGGAATAGGGTTAACTTAATGTTTAAGTTCCCTGTTTAAGAAATAGAAAACATACGAATCTTCTCATTTCATGGGAACGACCTGAGTTTGCAATCACGGCTTCAACTTTTGAATTGCAGAATAATTAGATGCACTATCTAGTGTATATAAGATAATATATATATATATATATATATATATATATATATATATATATATATATATATATATATATATATATATATATATATATATATATATAATTATACATATACATATAGATCTTTTTAATAATTACATTTACATAAAATATATAATATAGGTTTTATAATATATTTTATTTTTTAATCATGTAAGTAACTCGTAATTCAGATGTAAATGTTCTGCAATGAATTATTTAAATTAATAAACCATTACCATTACCATTACTATTACCATACATGACGTAAGTTAAAACTTCCAACCAGGGACGTCGCGAAGCCATCAACATTGGGGGGTGTCGTCATGTTTTGACCAACATTTTCTAGGATTTTGACAAGTCCTACAAATTTTTCCCGAAAATGTTGTCGACGGGGGGAGAGGGGGGGAGAGGTCAAAAAAATTGTCCAGACTAACATAAGCATAGTCAACATTTTCCGCCAAGATTAGCAAGGCTTCCAATTTTTTCACCGCAAACATAACAAAAGCTTTAAAATTGTTAAAATTGCGAACCATTGCATAACTTTCAGCAACTTCGATCATCTATTATTGCAAACTTTGACCAAATTTTTCCGAGTTTTACCTTCAATTTTAAGCAAATATCAGTTCCATTTTGACCAACTTTGGGCAAATATCAGCTTCATTTTGACCAACTTACCAACGTTTGAATTATTGGGGGGTGTTAACCCCCCCCCCCACACACACACACACAAACACACCCCTACAGCGACGTCCCATCGCTTTCCACCCACAGCAAAGTTTATATTTAGTAATTAGTATTCAACCTAAATGTCGCAGAAGAAGTTTAAATTTCACACAACGACAACAACAATCTAATTATAGTTGTGATCACTATAAAATATATCAACAGCAATAGTATTATCTAATTAGCACCAACAAATCAAAATACAGATTAATTTAAAAAATGTTTTGTCTCATAGACAATCAGATTTACAACCGAAATACGGTTATACGGTATATGGACTTTTGTTAAAGTTTGTATCAGGCCTATTTATAGGCCAGATCGCAGGTTAAGCCCAATCCCAAACTCAAAAACAACAAACACCAAGATTTTTTTTCTGTGTTGGTGTAATGTACTCAGTTGAATAAGATACTCGTGTGATGTTACTCTGAGTGTATATCCACACCGAGCAGACTTGAAAAATATGCCTGGCCACGGTGGGATTTGAACCTACGACCTTTGGAATACCAGCCCAATATTGCTCTGCCAACTGAGCTACGTAGTCAGGTCGGTTCGAGTATGTGATATTTCGGAACTGATATATCACATATTCTAAACGACCTGACCGCGTATCTAGTTGGCAGAGCATTGGCCTGGTATTAATTCCCAAGGTATATTAGGTTCGATTCCTACCGTGGCCACTCATATTTTTCAGAGTAACATCACAAGCATCAAACACCAAGATGTCGATCTACCTGTGTTCGTGGGTTTAAGGCCATTCTCCTTAAGCTGCAATGAATTCTGGTTTAAGCTACAATGAATTCTGATTTAAGCTACAATGCATTCTGATTTAAGCTGCAATGAATTCTGATATAAGATGCAATGAATTCTGATTTAGAAAACCATAGGAAACGGGTAATTGCCAATAAACTAAGTTTAAATGTGGCCATAACAGAATTTATATTAATTGGATCTAAACCAATGATAAAAAGTATCTCAAATAGAAAACCAAACATTAACATAGAAAACAAACCAATTAAACAAGTATATGATTGCAAAACTCTTGGAGTGACTGTTGAGCAGCATTTGTCTTGGAAGAATAATACTGAAACAATTTGCAAGAAAATAACATCCGGGATATCAGCTCTTCGTCAAATAAAATAATTTGTTGAGAAAGATACACTTGTCTCTGTGTATAATTCTATTGTTCGCCCATACTTTACATATTGCTGTGAAGTATGGGATGTGTTTGGTGAAACACAATCAAAACGCCTCCAAAAGCTCCAAAACAGAGCTGCTCGAATCATAATGAATATGAGCAATGATGTAGATCATCTGGTTGCTTTAGATGCTTTAGACTGGAAGCCACTTAAAACGGAAAGAATAAAGACTAAGTCCAAACTGATGTTTAAATTGTTGAATAAAATGGGTCCTAAATCACTTACTGATTTATTTACTTTCAAAAGTGAAATGACAAATTATAAACTTCGAGATGTTGAAAGTACTCTTTGCTTACCACAGCCGCGTACAAATAGCTTGAAAAAAAGTTCATGTTTGAGGGGGCACACATTTGGAATTCTTTACCAACCGAAATTAGAGAGAGCAACTCCATCATGTCCTTTGAAACTAAAATCGCTACTCACATTTTTGAATACTCAAATTTTTGAATAGCATTATTATTCTTATACTTATACTTATATATATATTTCTTACTGTATGTAATATCTTACTATATACTATATCTTTGTAATTTTATTGTTGTACACGCCCCTTGTGGAAATCAGCCTAGGTTGACAATGGTTAGCGTGTTTAAATAAAAGTTTCTATCTATCTATCTATCTATCTATCTATCTATCTATCTATCTATCTATCTATCCACTATAGCTAAGCGGAATTTTCGGCGCGGAGCGGAATTTCTCTTCGTCTTTTCTAATTAGTTCCACCCGAGAAATCACAAGACAAATAAAAATTCAGCTTCGCGCGGAAAATTCCCCCGAGTGGAAATGCGTTATTTGTGGCCGCTGTGTCCTATATTTACGAAAACAAGTTTTCGTTACTGAATATAATTTAGCCGTTTTCGTTCCGTTCACTAGAGTCAATTTATCTAAAGTTTACAGATTGTCTTTTAGCAATTCTCTTTTGACATAAAATAGATTTTGCGAAATGTAGAGAAAACGAAGATAAAGTAATTTTGTGAACATTCCTACAGCGGCTTTCGATATATATATATATATATATATATATATATATATATATATATATATATATATATATATATATATATATATATATATATATATATATATAAAAGTTCACGCGTTTGAATTAGTACAGCGAAAACACTATAAGTGTTACGTTCCTCAAATAAATGTTATCCTATCCAGGAAGGCCTAACTTAAATTTTGATGTATAACACATGCATTTTTGTCTCGTATTACCCAAGATATTGGTAAAACAATTTGAATATGCAATTTCAAAAGGTTCCAAAATTAGCTGAAAATAGCCTATTAAATACGAGTAAAGGAATTAACGATATATGAAGAACACAACGGCAGTAAATAATGCGTTATCATGGAAAATTAAATAACTATATTCTTACACGTGTGACCATACTATCGAACGAACGTTGGATTTATTTGCTGGTCAA